CTACATCTGTGTAGCTGCTGACAGTGAGGCTTAGATCTTCTGAACCTGTACATACAGGCTTGGTATCGTTCATAGTATGTGTCTCATTTTCTCTGAGTATGTTTTCTTCAAACCTCAGTTTACAACCAAACTGCTCCTCCCAGAACATGTTGATAAATTCCATTCCTGCTTTGGGAGATGGACGGACTTTCAGTAGGAACTCTTTTAACCCAGGTATTCTGACCCCTGGGAAGGAGAAGCCCAGAGTTCCCTCTAAAAGGTRGTGGAATTGTGGTAAGGTCAAAATACTAGCAGCCACCCAGGACTCACTAGCTATCCATTGGATCCCTGTAACATTTCGTTGAGTGAGCTGAAAAGATATGTTTAAAGAAATTGAAATAGGTACAGCAATAATCACATATAATTTCTACGCCACACATATTTTTACACCAGCATCTTAAACACTGTACTCATGCAGTATATCAGATGTGATGCCTACCTCTAAAAACAGATCCAGTAATTGCCCCTCATTGGAAAAGACCACAACTACCCGTGCAGTTGATTTCTGTATTACATCTGCCATTTGTTGTATTTCAGTTGAGGTGGGTGATGCTGGAATTGTGAGATGAAATGCAACGCAACCACCTTGTGATTTAAACTGATTAGAGAATGCTTGGATTCCATAGTGRCTGTAGTCATCCTAGAACCAAAGAAAGATGTGTAAATTATGTTGGTTCATAAACTGACCAGTCTTGGAGAAAAAAAATAAATAAATAAAACATATCTCACTGTGATTCCTAATGTTCCCACCCAGAGCCAGCCAAAGAAYGTGACCAGCTGAACCAGACCTTTAACTTGAAACAAATCACTGGGCACAGTCCTCAAGAATGATGGGTATGTTAGTTTGTCACTAAGACAGGTACAAGTGGCAAAATAACTCACCTAGGATTAAAAAAATACATTATTTTCATCAAAACAAAGCATTACACGTATGAATAAAGATTTATGTCATATTATATTATTGTATTTTATATTTGTCTTACCAATGAGATGTTGAAAGAGCCAAGAGTTTGTGCTACAGCTCTTGTTGGAGAAGATGATGCAAGACCAATGACAGCAGGAACAGGAGAACCAGACAGACACATGGAAGATTCAGACTGTGGTGTTTTTAACTCTTCTGTATTGTTGTGTAGCATAACATTTCTAACATTAGGAAATGTTGAGGCATTAGCCTCACCCCCTGTAATATTTAGTGGTAATCCAAAATTCATTTCACTTGTAATATTCATTATATTTCCAAGTTCTACTGTTTGACTGATCTCATTTGTCACACCCTTGGAGTAAGTGACTAAGGAGAAAAGTCCGTGCAGACTGTTGTAGATGTTGTCACAGCTATCCATCATTCTATAGCCTAATTTAATGTCTGGTAACAGATCAGATTTATTGTTAATTTCCTCCATAGTAAACGCCATAGTCATCATCCAACGAAATGCTCTTTGGTCAAACCTGCAGATAATTACAACAGCAATTAAGAGATTTTTCAGCTTTTACAACAAAGAATCAGGATAAGTTTCACATTAAATACGAATATATTTACACTCACCCGCTGCACGGTGTCATTAGGGGTTTGCTGTGGTAGACATGTTGTTGCTCAGAGCCTACATAGTGCAGAGGGAAAAACCCTCCGATGACAACATCTCCATCCATCTCCAGTGCCTGAGGCTGATGTTCTTCTAGTTTCACACATGTAGAATTACCACTACGTTCTTTTACCTCCAAATCTTCCACCCTCTGTTCTATTGCTTCTTTTTCCTCAAAAAATAAAATGTTTTTTTCTTCTACTGAAAGACCAAAAGTAATCAACATGTTTAAAAGAAGACTGAACAAAACACAAAAGTGCAAAAACAGATGAAACCCAAAAAGGGTTTTCTGTGTTGCCCATCCTGACCCCATGAAAATGTGCTAAAACTAAAACAGCCTCTCAAAGGCTAATGAGTTATATGGGTTTTAACATTATCACTGCTGATTTTTTTATCATGAGTCATCACATCAGCAACCTATCAAAATTAGCAGCACAAGAGACGTATGGATGTCTTCTCACTTGGCCTTTTAGAATTTACAGTTCATTGTAAGTTAGTTTCAAGTTCATTGTGAGTACACTGATTTGAATAATCATTTTCAAACTAAGGTTTTTGATCAAAATCAATTTAAGAAAATTAGTACTTTAGTTAAAACATTTCAATATGGGCTGCTTCAGTTTTCTGTTTTGTTTTTTGAAAACTCTGAATACAGTACTTTCTACTGATTTTAGTTTCCACTCTTGTGACAGCGAGCTGCAAAGCTCCTCTTGTGCTGCAGATATGTCAAGTTGTCAAGGATGGTCTGTAGTTTTGCAGGTACTATACTGACATTTAGAGAAATTTCACTAATTTATTCAAATTTTACATTTTTTTATTTTATTTTACATTTTTACAAAACCTCAGTTTTAAATTTATTTTACTTCTCAGAGCCTGTAGGACATTTAGAAAAAAAATAATAGCATAAAAAAACCCCTTTCAACCTACTCAGCCGCTAGAAAAAAGTTCCCCACTTATCTCCTTCTCCTGTCCTCCTACTTTGCTGCAGGCACTGTCATATCTGCAGCCTACCTGCAATCCCCCCTGTGAGTAAAACACATTTTTGAGGCTCATTATACAGGTAAACATCCAGAGAGGTTGACATGTAAGGTGCTGTAATGCTGGAGCATCATGTGACCTAAAGTCAGACTGAAAAATGTACTCTTAAAACTGAGTTTCTCAGTATTTACTCTAGTTGGATTTTTCTGGAATATGTTGTTGATAGAATATCGACAGACTACATTTGGAGAAAAAAAAAAGAAAAACATAAACCATCATTTATTTTATCAAAATTTAATTCATGATTTAGTTTTTGTTTTTCCTTCTAGAAGACACACAACAAACTTTATTCAATTTGAAAACAGGAAAAACTGCAAAAACAAAATAGAAGTTGCAGCTTCAGGTAGAGAAACACAATTATACTAAATTTGTTCAAACCTACATTCTGCAATATTTAATTTTTGTTCATTAAATATTTTTTTGAGTTTTTCTCAGGTTGAAACATTATAATGAAACACTTTGGAACAAATATACACAGTATCAGTCCAAAACTGGAGGCCAGGATGGCAAATATCTCCAC